AGAATGATGCTAGCGTTAGCGTTTCTGGCAGGACAGCAGATGTCAACAATGCAGTCATTGGGTTAAGCATGTATCGTATCCGGGAGAAATATAGCTGCGCGTTGATCTGTCTCTTCAAAGGAGGATTACTAACGGCGACTCTGATGATATATTTATGGTTTGCTTCACGATGTGAGTACAGGCTTTGCTGGTAGACTTTTTTTTTTTCTTCATTTTCCTAAAACAATAAGGAGCCAGGCCTATATGTTTTGTCTCCCGCTTCATGATTGGCAGGTGTTCTTTTGGTTGTCATGACAATGACGTAGTTTAGAGCGGAACAAGTTCGCGTTCATTCACACTGAACCGAAACAGTATCAGAGTGGCGTTTGATACTAGGGGCTGAGGCGGGTCAGACCCGGCATGTTTTTTATTTCGACCCTCATTGCGTCCTTACACATAATTCTGAGCAGACACAGCCGCTTTAGAGCAGCCTTAGCTCGGCTGTGTGACGATCCCCTGCTCTCTCCTGTTCATGGACCGGATTTGACTGTTCCAATATGGAGGACTGCTTGCATATAGCGGCTCATAAAAACAGCTGCTAATGAGGTACACATACATTAGGGCTGGGTATAAAAGATAGATTTCTCGATTTTTAATTTTGTATTATTAGGTGCATATCCAAGTGTAGGAGCTAAACTAGTACAGTGCATTTCTGCCTATAGTACAGAGATGACCGTACGCTTAATCTCTGCAGCCGACACTGACTCAGAAAACACTAGTTTATTAACAATAGTTGTTTCGATGCTGATACTAGTATCGGAAATGCCGCCGATACCAATAAAAATTCTGGCATCGGCGAGTACTTCTACCCATGTACCGATCCGATACCCTTTTCTTAAACAATAACTCATAATTCATACAGTGCTAGTATGAATTGCCGCTGTATGGATACACACCCAGGTATCGGATCAGTACTCGGTATCGGCCGATACCCTGAGTCCAGGTATCGGTATCAGGAAGGGAAAAAGGGATGGGAACATCTCTAATTAACAAATTATTAATGTTATTGGTAACACTTTATAATAGAGCCGACCGATTTATCGGCCGATATTAGGCATTTTCATAACTATCGGCATTTAAAATGGCCGATAAATGAATATTTTTTAAATGCGGCGTGCGATGATTCATGTAAGGGTGGCGCTGCCAATAAAGCACCTAAAAGCCGTCACAAGAACTGGCAAAAGCAATGATATGAATACATCAAATATAGCAAGGAGACAGTTTAATTGTTTATTAATAACAAGTGTTTTCAGTCATTGTGGGCTGCAAAGATGAAGTTGAGGATGCGGACTCGCGATCTTTGAACGCACCAGAGAGAAATGTAGAGAGCAGTTTGTCTTTCGTTTTGATTTGTTCTGTTTAAAAGTAGACATTTCAATAGATATATTTCTCAGGTCTATACGCTGAGTTTAGGTTCATTTATGAGACGAGTTGCAGTTCACTCGCCGCGTTTCGAGATTATCTATTATCTGTTATATTTACTTCTTATTTATTAAGGCATTTGGTTGATGAAACATTGATTAAAATTAAGATATTTAGTGAAAATATGACTTTAATGAAAGGCTTTGTGCTTTCTGTTCGAGGTAGGCCTATGTGAAAGTTTTAAAGCACTTCAGTGCCGCTTTCGGAGCTTGTCACGTCCGTTTTTTCCTCATAAATGCTTTTGATTTGCGCAGTGTAATTCACTGAATTGATTTCTCTGCTACAAGCCTCTGTCACGTATTGTGTGAGCTTGTGACTATTGCAAGCGCGCAGCTGAGAAGTCCTGATTATATTGTCTGCTATATTTAGCCAGCTTCTTATATATTAAATCCAGGCAATTAATTTATTAAACATTGATTAAAATGCGTGGCGCGAGCGACAATTCTCCGACAGTAAACGGATGGCCCTTTCTGCTCTGTAACGGGTGCTTCTCCGCGTCTCGGGTAAACGGCTGTTGCGACTCGCGCGAGCAATAACGGCCGCATCCGGTGTGTAGACACTGTGTTAAAGCTCATTCCGCCGAATCAAGCAATATTCCAATAATTTATATAATTATAACACTTTATATAGGGCCATTTTGCATTAAGAGTAGCCTAGTTTACGTTTAGTAGGTACATTTTGCTTACTACTTATTTAAAATAGTATAAAAGTCTGTACATTATGTAATTATAAACGTTTTCATTATGATATTAATTTTACTTTAATAAAAAGATCTGAGTTCTTCCTCCACTGGTAGAGATTAGAGGAATTAAGACTAAAAATAGATGATAATGTCAGTGACACTTTTGATATATTTATTGATACAAGTTGTTTTATATAACGTGACTAAATTAAAAGACAAAGTCGTCAGTGAAGATTATGCAACAGTATTTAGAATATAATATAACATGCAATGCAAACTAGTTTGGTTACAGCTCAACTGTATCATTCTCATTCTATCATTCCCCCTGCCTCCATTACATATCACTCAAGTGTTTGATCACCACATTTGAGTGATCATTGCAAAACGTTTATATATTTATTCTGTTTAAATACTGTGTATTCTATATACAGTACCCATCAAACGTTTGTACACACCAATAGGAAAGTGTGTCCAAACTTTTGACTGGTACTGTACTATAATACACATAAATAATATTGCTACTGTACACATATATAATATCGGCCGATATATCGGTATCAGGCTTTTTTTATCGGTATCGGCATCGACCCCCAAAAATCCATATCGGTCGGGCTCTACTTTATAATAACTGCACGCTATTAATCATTAGTTGAGCATTAGTAAACCGTCAATTCATCATTTATAAAGCTTTAATAGACATTAATAAGCCGTTTATAAATACAGCTATAAATGCTTTATTCTTGATTTATAAGCACATCTATAATGTTTAATAATTGTATTTTCATACTTTATTAATGGTCAATTCATCATGTCTAAATGAAGTATTGCATTATTTACAAACCAGTTATTTAGGAGTTGTCAGTGATTCATAAGATCACTTAGAAAGTGTAAGTAAATGATTATAAACTTTTTATAATTAAATTAACATTTAAAAAACTGGCCGTCATAAACGCTTGTTTTCATGCCGGATTTATTCACATTCTCACTCTCTCTCAAACACACACACACACGCACACACACATTCTCTCTCACACGCACACACACTCACTCTCACTCTCTCTCTCTCTCTCTCTCTCTCTCTCTCTCTCTCTCTCTCTCACACACACACACGCACACACACATTCTCTCTCACACGCACACACACTCACTCTCACTCTCTCTCTCTCTCTCTCTCTCTCTCTCTCTCTCTCACACACACACACACACACACGCGCACACACACACATTCTCACTGTCTCACACACACACACACACATTCTCACTCTCTCTCAAACACACACACACACGCACACACACATTCTCTCTCACACGCACACACACTCACTCTCACTCTCTCTCTCTCTCTCTCTCTCTCTCTCTCTCTCTCTCTCACACGCGCACACACACACATTCTCACTGTCTCACACACACACACACACATTCTCACTCTCTCTCAAACACACACACACACGCACACACACATTCTCTCTCACACGCACACACACTCACTCTCACTCTCTCTCTCTCTCTCTCTCTCTCTCTCTCTCTCTCTCTCTCTCACACACACACGCGCACACACATTCTCTCTCACACGCACACACACTCACACTCTCTCTCTCTCTCTCTCTCTCTCTCTCTCTCTCTCTCTCTCTCTCTCTCACACACACACACACACACGCGCACACACACACATTCTCACTGTCTCACACACACACACACACATTCTCACTCTCTCTCAAACACACACACACACGCACACACACATTCTCTCACACGCACACACACTCACTCTCACTCTCTCTCTCTCTCTCTCTCTCTCTCTCTCTCTCTCTCTCACACACACACGCGCACACACACACATTCTCACTGTCTCTCACACACACACACACACACACATTCTCACTCTCTCACACACACACACTCTCACACACACTCTCACTCTCTCTCTCACACACACACACTCCCTCACTCTATTCTCACACACACACACACACACACACATTCTCTCTCTCTCACACTCACTCACTCTCTTCTCACACACACACACACACACACACAGCTAAGACTCAAGACTAGCCTTTAATGAAAGCAGTGCATTAATACAGAACAGTGATTAAACTGACTGGATTTAATGCACGCCTTCCAGCCAATCACACACAAGTATTCAGACAGAACATGGTATAATTACATTTAAGACATTGGCAGGTCAGAAATCAGAATGACATCATCATTATTATTTTCTCGGCAGGCTAAAGAAATCCTGACCAAGGAGTCTAACGTGCAGGAGGTGAGATGTCCGGTCACGGTGTGCGGAGACGTTCACGGCCAGTTTCATGACCTCATGGAGCTCTTCAGAATCGGAGGAAAGTCACCTGACACGAACTACCTGTTCATGGGAGATTATGTGGACCGAGGCTATTACTCTGTGGAAACCGTCACGCTGCTCGTCGCTCTCAAGGTAAGTGCTTGTGTTGGAGAGAGAAAAGAAACTACGCTGTCTGAAGCGGTTCATGGATCCGGTCTCTCTAAACCCCGCCTTTCCGTGAGCCTGCTCTGCTCTGATTGGCCCAGTTTGTTGTCGCTTGCAGATTTGTGTGTAAAAATACTTTATTTTTTATTTTTATCAAGTTAGCAACATCTTATGTTGCGCTGAGGATTATTTCATCATCTTTGCGTCACGCTTCAATAAATGTTGCAGTGACGGTAATTTATGTAATTATATTATAATAATGTTATATCAATATTTAATATAAAAACAGAGTTATGATGTCACTAATGACAGATGCCGTGATAAATATGGATATGAGAGAGGCTGTTATCAACAGGCACTGGGAAGACACAGCTTTATTGACGATGAAATGAGGGAAGACATCGCTGTGCATGCTGGTACATGTGCACATTACGGCTCGAGCACAAAGCTTTGTTCACAGAAGAAATAATAGGTTAGCGATTAAATGTTACATCACAGCCATGGAAACGCTTGTGTTCGTGCCGGATGAGAGATATATTGGCCTGTAAATATAAGCCGTGCCACAGAGCAAATGCTGTACCAGCCCTGTTCGGCTATATGAACGGATCTGGGAGAGCTGGGCGGTAACACGGCACATTTACTTGTGTACTTAAGTACACTTTTGTGTGTCGGAAACCATTGTGGACGTTGAGTGCACACATTCAATCCCACTATACTGGAGCTGTGTTCTAGTTATATTGATATGAGGGCAGGCATAGATTCACAGGCATAAGGTACTGTAAGTATTACATACAACAATAATAAACATAATAAATGCATTGACATTTACTTTTTACTTTTGATACTTAAGTACTTCTAAAAATGAGTACTTCTGTACTTTTACTCAAGTAAAAATCGGTCTTTACAACTTGTTGTTGTAACGGAGTAATATTTGACCAGGAGTATCTGTACTTTCACTCAAGGAAGGAAGTTGCCCACTCCGTATAATGCCTGTTTAAGCACCACCTGCTCAATTAGCATTTTCATTCAGTCCGATTGCTGTTTTTGTTTGTTTATTGTAACATAATTCAAGACAGTTTTTGCTCTAAATCTTGAATCTATACTAGAGATGCACCGATTACAATTTTCTAGGCCGATCCCGATTTTAGCCGATTCTGATTTAATTTTTTCAAACCGCTTTACAGCACACACAAATATTTATTTTCTATCTTCTCTTTAATAGAACATTTTGCATAGAACATTTTTTTGAACAGATAATCGCTATAAAATAGAACTATATAAATGACTCCTGGTGTGGGAAATTCACACACATCTAAAGTGCAGTGTTATGGAAGAATCATTTCCTTTTCACATCCAATATCCAACTAAAAAAAATTTATATTTTAGCAAACTAAACTTCTGTATGAAAACAGGTAATGGCAATAAAATAATATATAAATAACAAATAAAAATAAAATAAATATAGCCTTGCAGTATAAAGATATTTCTCTCACACACACACACACACACACACTCACACACACAGGCCTATTGCAATCACTTGTACATCAATGGCAAGTTATATTTCTCAAACAGTTCTTCTCTCATCTGACACATGTCCAGCCAAGCTAAACAGGACAAGTGGAGGGAAATGATTGGGAAATAATAAAAACAAGTTTAAATGGGTACATTTTCTATAAATATTTTTGTCTCTTCATTTTCTTTCTGACATAGCCTAGCCTACTTCAGTTCTTGTTAAAACACACCAGACATGCAAATTCTGTGCATTTTGGGCACTTTTTGGATGAAATCATATTTATTTTGTCCATCAAAAGTGTGCTTTCACTTAAATGGAGCGCAGCAAAAATAGACTCGGCGCCGAAACCCGCGCTTCACTGTTGCTCACGCGACGCCCCTGCTCGACGCTCGCGCGCTGCTCCGGCTCCCGGTGTGAATGCACTCATTGATTAACATGCACGCCAAACAAAACTCAAACGCGCTGCTCACGCTTGCGGTGTGAAACGGCCGTAATTCACGAGGTTTCCTACAAGTGCGCGTTCAGTGTGCACGTGTGATGCTGATGTTGCGCGATGTTAAACATGCGGCGCCCGAGTGCATTTGACCGGCATAAAATCGGATTATGTCAGACTGACCGGCCGGTCGCGTGGAAATCGGCCGATTCCGGTCACCAGCCGATCAATCGTGCATCTCTAGTCTATACCATCTAGTTTAATGTAAAAACAACTGCTCCTGTCTAGGGATGGGGCCGATCCAGTATCGGGACCGATACCAGTGTAATTCACGTATCGGATTTTTCTTAGATATCCGATATCCATGAGCCATGTCTGCGCTGTAACGTTGTCTGCTGAAATGACTCCAAAAGTGGTTCCCGCCGGCTAGTAGGGCTGTAGCGATACACTAATCTCACGATACGATACGATACACGATATTCGGCTGACGATACGATATATATCACGATATTCAGCCAACGATACGATTCGATATAATTCGATACACTTACATCATTTTCTGAAAGATTTAAAGGGGACAGAGTGATTTTGGTGACATCTTGTGAGTCTTCCATTTACTTGGATTGAATTAATTGAACTGAAAACTGAAAACATCATTTACACAATATATGTCTCTGACTGGGCAGAGAGTACAGTTTGCAAATGCTGGACAAAATGAATCAAATATGTGTAGAGAAAATTAGTTCTATTTATTGAAAGACAACAGTGCAAACTGTAGCTTATAAGCCTTTGTTAATTGCAATACTGCACTTTATTTACTTTTCAATGGAGAGTTAAAAGGTGCAGCAAGTGGCCTGTTGTGAACAGTTTCTTTGCACTGCCTTTTCTTTGACAGCTTTTTTAGCTTGACACTGAACATGTGACGTGCTTCAGTTGTGCGCGAGGTCAAGCCGTCGCACGTCAGGGAAACTCTCTCCGCGCTGGCCAGGGAGGCTTTGACGTGTGCTCTTGCCTGAGTGTACAGCCTGGGAATGCAAACCTTGATGAGGTGTTCGCGGGTTGGAATAGGATAGCGGGGCTCCATCGCGTTCACCATGCGCCTAAAGCCGGCGTTTTCCACCACCGAATACGATTTTTTTTACATTTTTTTTTTTTTTTACTAAGCCTATTTAAAATCGTATTTGATTGCAGAGCGCCGCAGCGCATTCACGCAGCACTACCTCGCTCTCGCTCTCTCTCTCTCTCTCTCTCTCTCTCTCTCTCTCTCTCTCTCTCTCTCACACACACACACACACTCATCCGTACCTCGCGCACTTTCTCACTCACGGAACACCGCTGCACAAATCTGTCCAACACAGCGCTGTCAATTTCGGAGACCCAGCTTTAAAAAAAGCTACTAGCCAGCATGCAAGGAGCCTAGCCAACAAGGAGAGCTAAGTTGTTGTTTGAATACAGCTGGATTTTCGTCAATATCGATGCACGCGCGCAGCTGGCCACTAGCGGCTGGCTGACCAAATCACTCTTCATGCAACGCGAACGGGTTTAACACGGGGGATTTGAATGGGACTTATGTATCGATACTCGCGGCCTAAAAATCGATACTTTCTTGGGAGAAAAAATATCGATTTATATCGCAGAATCGATAAAATCGCTCAGCCCTACCGGCTAGTCTGCTAGCTAGCTGCAAACTATGAAATGGATTTCCTGAACTGAGGCGCGGCTCAATGAGACACAGCGTTATGAGGCACGCCTCCGCTCAGGAGATCCAGCCAGCTAGCAGGAAGCATTGAGCAGCATTATGGAAATACTCGCGTCGGTCAACACACAACGAACGCAGTCAAACATTTAAAAAAGCACCAGGTTAAAGAGCACGAGGATTTTTAGCCAGGGAGCAGAAAGACAACGGGAGCCGTTTTATTGATAGAGAGTGTGTGTGTGTGTGTGTGTGTGTGTGTGTGTGTGTTAAGGCCCTTGCACCCAGAGCCAGATTTTAAAACCTTGATTTGTTGATGCTACAAGAGCCAGTGTACTTGATTTGTGCTGTTCAGATGCACACTGTTTTATTGATAGTGTGTGTGTGTAAGATGTTTACACTTGCACTTTTCTTATATTTCAAGACTCAACTATTTGACATTTTGTGAATGTAATGAATATTGACATGACAATCAATTTGAAACCCTTACAGTTGCATATTTGTTTTCAGAATGGGATTTTTGTCTGGAACAGGATTTCCTGTTTTTCTGACCTTATACTTGCCCAAAGTTGCCTTTTGGGACATACATGCATACATATCATACAAAATCAACAATAATGATAATAATAATATTAAAGCAAACACAGCTCTGGTATCGGAATAGAATCGGTATTGGCCGATATCCAAATTCAGGTTTCGGGATCGGAAGTGAAAAAATGTGGATCGGTGCATCCCTACTCGTGTTACATGTGTGCAGCATCTGTGTTTGGGTCGTCATTAAAATGCAGTGGTGCCTCTAATTTAAAAAAAAAGACTACAGATATTTTTTGTTTAAGGCCAGTTTGACTGTTTAAGCAATTATATTTGTTGTTTATTTGCTCTATAGCAAAGAGAAAAATCATCAATCTGTATCAGAATCGGCCCATTTGCTTGAACATCTGAATCTGCTATGAAAACCATGCATTACTAATTTCTATATTGTGCATTAGAGAATAGTGGCAGTCTATGGAAGCCACAGAATAAAGGAGTACAAATATTGAAAAAGTTTAATTTCAGAATTGTGAATTGCGAGATATAAACCTGTTATTAGGGCTGTGCGATTTGGGGAAAATATCTAATTGCGATTTTTCTGACAGATATTGCGATTTTTATTTAATTTGGTGAAGTCAAGCTTCAGCTCAATATTGTGCAGCACTCACTCTAAATTAAAGTAGTCACACACGTCTCTAACTTTAGACCCCTCCACTATCCAGCAGGTCCAGTGTGCCTTTCTGTTAGTGTTCATTGTGTCAGCTGTTTTATGTATTTAGTCTCAGTCCTGAGTCCAATGTACTCTTAGGTGTTATCATATATCTTCAACCATGTCAAGTTTTCGTCATGCTGCATAATGGCTAAATTGATAATCCCTGTTATTTTGCTCAACTATAATCTTAATGATTGTCATTTGAGAAATTTAGTTTTTTCGTAGTTTTTAGTAAATCGTAGTTTTTTTATTGTATTTTTTTTATTAGAAAAGCCTTCCTAGGGACCTGAGATGCAAATTAGCTCTTGTAATACTCTCTATGTGCAATACATATTTTCCAGTTTTGACTGGGATCATGTTTTTTTTGTACTGTCCCTATACAAATAAACTTATAAATAAAAAAATAAATAAAAAAATGTATGTCAACCCATACGCATGGTTTATTTTACCTCATGATTTATTATAGGCTCTTTATCATATAGGCAAAAAAACTGCTCTCAAAAATTAAAACAGTAAAATTCCTAGTAATCTAATAGATCCAAATGACTTCGTTTAAAAATTTAAACAACAGCAAAAATCACTTATTGCCATATAGGCACGGCAAGTTTATTTATATAGCGCATTTCATACACTATGGTAATTTGTAAAGTGCTTTACATAGAGAGAAATAAAAATAATCACAAAATAAAAGCAAGGAAAATAAAAGTTTATTCAAAATGCTTTACATTGAATTGCCATAGTGATATTTTAATTTCTTTCTAAGTGCTTTGCATAGAAAATAAGCACAAAATAAAAGCAAGCGAAATTAAAACCGTTATAAAAGGAATTAAAAGATAAATGATACAGTTGTAAAATTAATTGTAGTAAAAAGATGATACATAGAATAAACTTCTAATCCGGCAAAACGCCGGTGTATCTTATTTTGCGTATAGTTTTACTCTTACACTGTGTGTGTGTGTGTGTGTGTGTGTGGTGTTTATTCGGCGCGTGAGAACGCCATTGGCCGTCTCCGATGGATATATAGTCGAATATCGTGTAGTCGAGATCCATGTTTGGATTGTTGCAGTTCGTCACTGGGAAGGATTGATCACAGCTGGTGAATTAAAAGTCAGTTTGGGGAAATGTTATTTTGAATGATGTTGATCATTGTTCATGTGCTCATGTTCCAGGTACGGTACCGCGAGCGCATCACAATCCTCCGAGGGAACCACGAAAGCAGACAGATCACACAGGTGTACGGCTTCTACGACGAGTGCTTACGGAAATACGGCAATGCAAATGTTTGGAAATACTTCACAGACCTCTTCGATTACCTTCCCCTCACTGCCTTGGTAGATGGTCAGGTGGGTCAGCCCTTGTGTTTTACATATTCAGACACCCTTAACACATCTTTAATATGCAGTCAGCTTTAAACCCGTCAACACGTGTCTGTGAAGGTCAAATCTGATATGTTTCTCTGTAGATATTCTGTCTCCACGGAGGATTGTCACCGTCCATAGACACTCTTGATCACATCAGAGCGCTGGATCGTTTACAGGAAGTTCCTCACGAGGTATTGATCATCTTTATCCCGTCATTTCTTATCCTTATGAAAATCACTGTTTTAGCTGCAAACTAAAAAACCCTATTGTGTGGTTTACATGTGCAGTTTTCAGTCAAATCGCTTAAATCAAATCAAGCTGAAACAACAGGTGCTTAAAGTGCTTTAATTTGATGTTATGACATGTAAACCCTTGACAACAGCCTTGTTTATGAAAAGTGCTTGAGTTATTGAAACACAATATATGTGAAATTGTTTAATTTTATTGATAAAACAAACTTTTCACACACAATTAAAGCTGCAGTCCGTCTGATACAGAGGCATGTCACATGGCTGATATGAGTGTGATATTGCTCTTATAAATATCCAAGTATATGATGCATCTTTCAATCTTCAGCTCAATCATATATTCATGTGTGAATATTAGGGCTGCAACTAATGATTATTTTGATAATCGATTAATCGGATAATATCATTTAGATTTTTTGTTTATTATGACTAAATAAAACCCGGTTACACTTTATTTTAAGGTGTCCTTGTTACAGTGTAATTATATATTTAAGTACAGAGTAATATTAAGTAACTACATGTACTTACTATAGGAATAGGGTAGGATTAGGTTGAGGGTTAGTTGCATGTAATTATGCATAATTTACTGTTATTACTACAGTAAGTACATGTAACATATGTAACAAGGACACCGTAAAATAAAGTGTTACCTAAAACCCTAAATTAGGATATTTATGTGTAAAAGTGTACTTTAAAAAGGGCAAAAGCCACACATTGAGTTTTACAAATATCAATATTTGCATTGTTTTTAATGATAATTGCTGATGGCAAGTCGACAACCATGATTAATGTAAAAAAAAAAAAAAAAAAACATTTATATCCAACATATTGTTTTAACACAATTTTTGTTAAAACAAATTTACAGACATGTTGTTCAGATGTGAAGATATAAACTAAAAACATCTAAAATATATCATTCATTTAATTTTTATTTAAAATTATTGAATTATAAGGATACATTGATCAAATAAATATAGAAAGACTGAAAACAAGCGTGTGAACGTAGAGCCGCAGTAGATCGCGTTTGAAAAACAATTAACTTAGTAGACAAATGCTATATAAAGAGAGCGGAGTGGAGGTACGCAGCAAGCTAACAGGCTTGATTAAAAAGACAGGAAAAATGATGCATTAGTGCACAAACATTCGCTGAGAACCACTGAGTACAGTGACTAAAACAATCTTTTACTGCTGCTGTTATCGATAATGACATTCGTTGACAACGATTTTTATAATCTATTATTATCGATTTTATCGATTAGTTGTTGCAGCCCTAGTGAATATGGAAAGCAATTATTTCAGTGGTTATGTTTCCACGGTGCTGCACTTTGTTCTATTAGTTTATTGTTGTTTATCAGCTTACCTTTTTTAGAATTTGAAAGATATTAAAGATGTTGTTTGATAAGTGAGATCTCTGACTGAAGTCCTGTGTGTGTGTGTGTGTGTGTGTGTGTCTCCTCAGGGACCCATGTGTGATTTACTGTGGTCTGACCCGGATGACCGTGGAGGCTGGGGTATTTCTCCTCGAGGTGCGGGATACACTTTCGGGCAGGACATCTCCGAGACGTTCAACCATGCAAACGGCCTTACACTGGTCTCTCGAGCTCACCAGCTGGTGATGGAGGTGGGTCCTCTCCTCATGACATCATAGCAGGAAGTTAATGCGTTCACATTGCAGATACATGTGGCAGTTTTATCTTAAAGGGTTATTTCACCCGAAAATGAAAGTTCTCTCATCATTAACTCACTCAAGTCGTTACAAAAGTGAAGATATTTTGGGTAACGCTTTACAAAAAGGTTAATTTATTAAACATGAGCAATACATTTGTTACTGTATTTGTTAATCTTTGTTAAGATTAGTTAAAGCTGCAGTAGGGAGTTTTGAGAAAACGTTGACTTAGCCTGAAAATTTGAACAAGCACAACTTCCAGGTCCCGCCCCCTTGCTCTCTGCTGCGCTACAGCCCTCCCTCCACAGCTCGTCCTCCACAGCGGAGCCCATCGTGAACGCGCAGGCTAGTAAACAGGGCCACCGATGACGGCGGATAAAAAGTTATATGGCACATTCACTAATAGGGACTAAACGTCAACAATATGCTTTACATTGACTATGGCCTGCCCATACTTTGACTACAAACTTGGTCCTCAAATCATTATGTATTTTGCAATAGCCTACATGTAACTTTATAACGTTGCACTCTTTCTATAAGTTATAAATAGCTAGTAAGATAACGGTAACTAACGTTACAGTATGTAAGTAATTATTCTAGCGATATATAATGCTAGATAAGGTGTGCTAGTACATTATTTCAGCAACATGACAAGCCAGTGAATTAGCATGTTTCAATTGTTGCTTAGCAGAGTGCGTGACATTTTATCTACATGTTATGCGGCTAGAGTTTTGACACCGAGTCAATGGGCTCTGTGTAATTCTTTCTTTTTCTTTTTCCCAGAGTTTCCGCTAGAAAAAAATGGTGCCGGTCAAAGTGACCGGCAGAGGTTTCGTTTAACGGACATTTTGATGATATGCCGGTCAAATATCGCCTCTTAATTAGTCAAGTTGAGGAAAACTGGAGGCAGGCTATGTAACTTAAAAAATGACATAATCAGGCCGTATAGAATGCAACATGTTATTATTAGCCTAACTTTCAAATAGACAGAAAAAAACATGAACGTCCGATTGGCGTCAAATTCAATTAACACCAATTGTTTTTTACACACACATTCACTTTTTGAAACATTAAGGCACGGATGTACCTAATACAAATAAATAACTAGCTAACTAGTTAACATCTCCAGTTAACTAGCAGATCATTCATTTAGTTCGCTATTAAATAAGAGATCTAGCGCTAAAATCAGTTGTTTTTTAAATCAAGCTGAGCGCTCGTGTCCGCTATCAGTGTCATGGACGACGCGCTGCGCGAGTTGCGCAATCTTCACTCGGACGCGCGTTTCAATCCATCGCCGTTGCGGAGACTCTACACAGACGAAGCACTGCTATTGGGCGCAGAGATATCACACAACACCTGAAATAAAGCTTGCCACAAAGAACCGGCGAAAGTAATGATTATGCATGAAACATTTGAGTTGTTGATAAATTGATAAAGTTGACGATGCAGACTCGCCATCTTCGCAGTAGTGAACGCGCCAAAAATGCACACTTCATATGAATAAATTCTTATTTTTTAATCCAGGCAAATTTGTTGATGAATCATTGATTAAAATGAAGATACAATTTATACAAAACGAAATAAACTTAAAAAAAGGCTTTCTACAAAACAAACTAAATAAGTGGTCAAAATCATGTCTGACCAATTCCAAATGTTTTCTGATATATTGGTCATCTTATGATCCTATCTTACTGATCTCATGCGGTTCCCTTTTCATATAGCCTAATCAACATAGATTAAATAAATAAAATAATAACATTATATTATTTATAAAAATGAAACGTATATTTAAGTTTTTTAACCTATAATAAGCGTCACACCGCTCCGCTTTGCTCATGCTCTGGTGTGTAGTGTAATGCATGTGTGCGTGCATGTGGTGGAGGGGTGCGATTTTCAAATAATAATCAACCCAGCGATCTTCGAATATTATTTTTGCTTGAAAATTTCGTTTTGTATAAATTGTATATTAATTTTAATCAATGTTTCATCAACAAATTTGCCTGGATTATTAAATAAGAAGCAAATATAGTGGACAATATAGGCTAATCAGGACACGGAGGCGTCGGCGCGCGCACACTTCTCTCTATAGGCGCGTTCACTACTGCGAAGATGGCGAGTCTGCATCGTCAACTTTATCAATTTATCAACTTTATCAATAATATCAATGGGCCTGGCCATATTTGAAACGTCTCACTCAATCGTTCGTTGTTTAGGTCTATATTACAGCCGTAGGCGTGCGCTTTATTTGAAATGCAGCATGCCATGTTATTTCAAACGAACGGTAGAGCCTGTTTCTTTATAAGCCAAAGGTCGGTGTATTTTTGCTTTATACATTTTAGGCTTATTCTCAAATTCATATTGTGTTAGGGGGGCGGGATTATTACGCAATTTTAATCGGACAATTTGACAGGAGAGATTTCATTTTGTCGGACATTTCATTTTTTTCCCGGCCAATGTCCGGTAATTACCGGACAACGGAAACCCTGGTCTGAACGACGGCTCGCGCTCCGGCGCTCACGCTGTGCAAGAGAGGGGTGTGATCAGCGCGTACACGAGCGTGATTGACACTGCTAAGACACTCCTCTCGGCTCTGATTGGTTGTTTCTGACCGGGAGCGTGTATTTCTTGCAAATGGCAATAGGACCACTGGGAGGAGCCAGAGGAGCTTGATTTTTACTCCCATATTCTACTGTCAGGACATAATGACAGTTTTAGCAAATAAATTTTTTCAAAAGTTACCTACAGCAGCTTTAATAAAAATACAGCTGCTCATGTTAGTTCACAGTGCATTAACTAATGTGAACAAGATTTAAATAATGTATTAGTACATTTTGAAATTAACAAAGATTAATAAATGCTGTGTAAGGGCAGTATTAGTTCATGCTAATTAATGTAGTTAACTAATGAACCTTATTGTAAAGTGTTACCAATATTATAATAAAATCTGAGAGATTTCGGTCTCTTCATTGAAAGTCTATTTAAATAAAAAACTTAAACGTTCATAAAGAAATTGCAAAATAAATCCATGTGAATTGAGCGGCAGGATCGTTTTATATGATGTACCGATTTAATTTAGGCTTTTAATTTTTTATATATACATATACACACACACAAGGAGCTCAACCGTACTTGACTTGTGAGAACAAACCTCATTGGTTCTTGCTGAAGCTTTTAAATTTGATTTATTTTTAAGAACTGTAGCCGCGTTTCCATTACCCTTCAGATTGCAAATTGAAAATACGCCTCATGAAAACGATTTAATTTCGCAAAAACTCCCATATATCGTGCAAAAAGTTTTTCATGAGGGGGTTTTCAGGCGGTTAGAAAAAGGAATATTTCGCAAAACTGCATTGGAAACAGTTTTTTTGCATTCACAGTCACCTGACGTAGATGGAGAGCTGTGTTTGGACAGAAGACGAGACAGAGTTCTTCATTAAACTCATAAAAGACTAAATCATTACAGGAATACTGGATTATAAACCTCTAAGAAATCCCACAATCAAGATCTTGAAGCAGATTTGCGGGAGAAACACAGAAACTCCTCATATGAGCCGCTCTCAGTATAACGCTCTTTCCTTGCCATTAATGCTTGGAAACACACACGTCTCCTTCCATTAAATATAATGTCTAGTGCGGTGGCTGAGATATACGTAAACCTACTAACATCCGTTGCCATGATTATCGGAATGACTTATCGTGAGAGGAAAAAAATGAAGTTTTAGTCGCATAACATCAGTTAATGGAAACGCCGTCATTTCACAATAGTTTATCATCGACATTTAGAAAATATCGCAAACGTTTTGCTCAAATCTAGCGTGTCAGTTAATTTGTCTGTTTTTGTCCCCAGGGTTACAACTGGTGCCATGATCGCAACGTGGTGACGATCTTCAGCGCGCCGAACTACTGTTACCGGTGTGGCAACCAGGCGGCCATCATGGAGCTCGACGACACCCTGAAGTACTCGTTGTGAGTTCACCGCCTTAGCCCCTCACTGTTTTTATCAAGGATGTCGGTCATGTAATAGATTCAGCCGAAATACATTTGTATCCAGATGATATAATTATTTCTACAACAGCATCTTCTTTAAAGCCAGCGTTAACGCAACTACAGAATGCCTTGAGGACTGCAGTTCTCATAGATGCGGTTAAAATGGGTTTAAACTGAAAACACACGATTTTTAGTCGTGGTCTCTCTAAGGCAACTGATATGGCAATTACAACTTTAAATGGTTTAGTTGTAGCAAAGGATAATACTGACCGCTCCATCCGCAGTGTGTGTGTGTGACCTGACGTTGTGTTGTGTGTTTCCAGCCTGCAGTTTGACCCGGCGCCGCGCAGAGGAGAACCACACGTCACCCGCCGAACCCCCGACTACTTTCTGTGAATCTCACAGTATTGCCATGATATAATAACCTTCATTCAGTTTAAAATAAGAGGAGAGGAATGGTGGGCAACAGTATATATATATAAAAAAAAAGATTAAAGAGAAAACTGATCCAGAAAGAAATGTCTGTGGACCAAAAGGGGTGTGTGTGTGTGTGTGTGTGCCATATCCAAACCGACCCGGCTCCAGTCCGACACACGACCGTCTCGCTTCTGTCCTCAATACACTCACGCCTTCTCAACCCTCTGTTACTCTCTCTTTTTTTTCTTTTATATATGTATGTTTGCACTTTTTCTTCCAAACACTCAGTTTTACAATTTATTTCCACCTTTTTCCATGTGGTGTGGGGAGGAATGAGATGCTTTTGTATCCCAACAGCCCGTATCTAGAGGATGATCTTGCCTACGGTGAAAACATGTTAAACTAATGCCAACTACTTGATTTGTGGCAGACTAGGATGGCCTGCCGTCGTAGGAATGCTGGGATAGCTTCAGATGATGGCTTGTGTCTGTATAAAGGGTACCAGTTCAACAATAAAGATGATCTTGCTCCTGTGTTCTGTCTGTTTCTATCATCAGCTTCATACACGAATGATCGTTTCTAAGCCGATCACACTAATAAACAATGGAAAATTGCAGTGTTATTGTTGTAAAATTGGTCAATAATGAAACGGCTCAACATAAGACCATTTATTAATAAAATCTTGGGTACACTTTACAATAAGGTTCATTAGTTAGCTACCTCAGTTAACATGAACTAATGAACAATACTTCTACAGCATTTATTAATCTTAGTTGATATTAATTTCAACATCTAACACATTATCAAAATCAACGGTTGTATTTGTTAACATTAGTTAATGCAATGAACTAACATGCACAGCTGTATATTTATTAACAAAGATTAATAAATACTGTAACTAATGTATTGCTCATTGTTAGTTCATGTTAGTTAATACATTAACTAATGAACCTTATTGTAAAGTGTTCCCAAAATCTTATATACACATTTATTCAGTTCAATAGCAGTCAATGTTGTTACGATAATATTCCTGAATGTGAATTGTATTCTAAACCCTTAATATTAATAGTCTTTTAAATGTGTTTTTCAACCAGGGGTTACCTTAAGAAGACTTAAAATAATTAAATAAGACAGCTTTATAATAGCTTTACAATAACCTAAAATAATTTCACAAAACTTCTTAACATACTTTTCCAATTCAAATGATAACAATCTAACTTTTTATGTAACTGACTTTATAAAGTCTTGACTGGCCATCACCAGTTTTGACCGTGTAAACAGTGAAAAGACAAGAACATAGACGAGGCAAATCAGCGGTGGGTGAAGAGAGACCTCGTGTGTTTCGAGCCTCAAAACATTACATTCTGACGGAATATCTTGGGTTTTTGTTTTTTTGACAGAATATCATGCCGAACAAGTTAAAGGGGTGGTATAATGCCCCACAGATATTTTTATATAGCATGTTAAAATTGTCACTTTTTGAGGGTGAGCAAAAACGCACGTTTGTGTGTGTCCCTTTAAATGCAAATGAGCTGCTTCTCCCGACACAGGGGGCGGAGCTTCAAGAGCTGGTTTCCAATTACCACACACACACATGCACTGAACATTTCAACAACTTTTAGCCTTTAATGTTCAAACCAGACATTGATGTAACGACTCAAAAAGAAGTGACAACATGTAGAAGCAACAGGACATCTCTGAATGGTTAGTTGATGAATTTATGTTGCAGATGTTGTTTATGCTCAAACAGCAACACACACTGACTAAAGTTAGAAAAGTGAAATCATAATCAACCACCCCTTTAAGATGAGAAGTCGTCAGAGGACTCGTCACGTGTCCAAGCGGAAAACATCACTTTATCAGACCTCTTTCCAGACACCTTTGCATGTATTTATTAAATTCTGAGTCAGAATAAAGGTTTTCACCTTATTAGACCAAAAACAACAACAAAGGCCCTGTTCACTGGTGGTTTAATCTTTGATCACCAAAATATTTAAACCGGTTTTCCTTGAAAAAATGTCTTCATGCCTTATCTGGAATGTAACTCGACACCCTTGCCTCATTTAGTATGCGCGGATCTATGATTATGCAAATGAGCCCCGCCTCCACTCACTCACTCAGCTCAGAGATCCACTGGTTGACGATCACACGTTGATCTGATTGGTTACAAGGTCGTTTGTGACGTCAGAAACACCAGCGATTTCAAACCGTGTTTTTGAGACTGTCTTTGGTTCACTGCAGTTTTAAGCAGGAAATACTCAGCAATGCTGTCGACTTATGAACTTACACATGGTGTGTCTTAAAGCATATTAAACACACCACATAGACACATAAACAACATTAAAAGCTGGATTTTCACCATAGGGGGACTTTATGTGATAAAAAGTGTAAAAAGATGTCTATACAGTTTTTGGAAATGCGAAATGTGCACAAACAATGTTAAATTGTAACATTATGTGGGGATTTATAAACAATGCTTACTTTTAAACAGCATTTAGCCTTCAAATGTTTATATGTATTATTTACTATAATATAATTATTACTATCATAATAAACAAAAAACTAATTTAACTAAATTAATATTTTGTTTACATAAAGTTAAATAAAATAGAAAAATATTTCCAACACTTTTTGTTATGGTGTTATTATAGTTGTGTTTTGTTATATTTTTAAATATGATGGATTCATTATAAATATGGTGATTATCGAGGTATGATATTTCCCATCTGAATAACCATGTCATGTCAACAAATGGAAAAGTCAGTCAGCTGTTTATTATCATGTTAATTATTGTGTCTTTCACCCCAAATACCAAACGTTTACATATTCTTCCGCGATCACGTCAAGGATCAGACAGATCTCCACGGGCATCTTGAAAAGCTGATGTTTATGAAAGTGCTGCAAGTTTTTGAGCATAAAATTGAGAAAAAAAATGAAAGAAGCCTTTTACCCCAGTGTTCCTTTAACCCCGTTCTACTTATTCCTTTGCACAAATGCAAAACTAAATTTTAGACAAATTTAAATATTAAAATATGTTTCATTGCCTTAAAGCTGCAGTCCGTATCTTTTCCTCTTTGTCGCCATCTCTCTGTTGGAAATCTGTAACTGCAGTGATTGGCTGAATTATCATCTTTACGTGGGTTGTAAATCGGCATGAAACAGCGCGGATGAACACAGTGCTTTGAGGCGAGTGCTGCTGTCAGTCACCGCGCTGTGTGGATACTGGCATACAGAATCACAGATTCACTTTTTGAAAGTTTGATCAACATTAGAATTTTCATAAGAAAATGTCTTCTGAACAAGTAAGTAAAATCCATTTTTGTTCTGACCAACTAAGGGGGAAAAAGCATTCGACATGATAAGCTTCGTTAGATTTAATCAACGCGATTTACAGCAACCGTGCAAATTATAGCCTACTTTGTTCTCAAATTGTTCATGTTAACAACACCAGCATTGCGTGACTAATGTTAAATTTAATGTGTTTTATGGTTACCTGTGTAGTTCAGAATTCATATTCTCCATAATAGCAAAACGAGAAAGGCACAACAAAGGAAACTCCATAACTGTGTGAATTAAGAAAACGTACTGTTACACGATTGAACTATTGAAATGTCTTACTTGTTCAGCAGAAAAAAGCCGTCTCTTCTTCCGTTTCGAACCCCTTCAAAACACGGAGTTCACGCACTTTTCAAAAGCCCCGCCGATGTTTAAATCCTTGTGTTCGCATGAGACGGTTTCTTTCTCTTTCTCTAGCCACCTTAAATCCGAAGTACGAAGTCTTTTGGGTTTTATAACTGCTGAATCTCCAGTTGACACTGATGATTGTTGTTTGGATCTTTCTGGATGCCATAAGTTTAATAATGTAAAGTGCAGCGAGAAAAGCCTATACATCTAAACATCTGGTCACGCGCAGTATAGCCGGCTAGCCGAAACTCCTTCTTTATGTGTACGAGTGTGACGTCATGACGCGAAGACATGCTCGAATTCCCCGCGGAAACCCACCAGTACCACTGGAATTAAAATCATTATTACAAGCTAACCGTTTTGAATCTAGCTATGGCAAGCAGATAGTTTTGACCACTGGCAGAATAGTTTTTTTTTTATAAAATTATTTTGGATTATTTTTAACTTAAAAAAGTTACGGACTGGAGCTTTAAGTAGGACTGGACAATATAGCGTTTTAGCATCAATATTGCGATGTGCACATCTGTGATAGTCAAGTGTAGGGATCGTGCTTGGAACGCATGTGATTCACGGATTAATTGTAAAGTTTAGCCATCGTAGAGTAAAGGCCCTTGCACACTGAGTCTGAAATTCGCGTCCGAAATTTTCGCACGTTAAAAAATCAATACGAACTCACGTTATGTCAATCATGCTTGCACACTGCCTCCGAAACTTTCGTTCGTCATAAGAAAATTTGGTTCTGGTTCGATTTTCTGCGTTTTTCGCATCCGTAGCGAGCAGTTTTAATGTTTTTTTTAACAATTCAGAGCCACTGAATCACGAATACGAAAAAACGCATATTCGGACTTAGTGTGCAAGGACCTTAACCGCTGCGCAGACAGCACGTGAACACTAGATTCAAACCCTGAACGGACACGTGCACTCAAAATTAAAGGTGCTGTATGTAGCTTTTTCACTCTACTAAAGCATAAAATTACCATAATATGTTTATAAAATAGTTTTGTGAGCGAAAACAGAATAAATAAAAGAGGAGGTGGAGTCGCTATTTTATATAAAGACTCATTACAATGTACACAGTTATCATACGGAAGTTTTGCTTCATTTGAATATGTAGCTCTTCTGCTAAAGTCTTCTCCTCGAGCTATATTTCTAAATATCTACAGGCCACCAAGATACTGTGCAGCTTTCTATGATGACCTCTCTGAATTGCTGTCTGTGATTTGTATCGATTTTGACTGTGTTGTTGTCACTGGTGATTTCAACATTCATGTTGACAACCTTGAGGATAGAGAGACCAAGGAACTATACTGTGTTTTTGAGAATTATGCGCTGACTCAGCATGTGACAGGGCCCACTCACATTCAAGCCCCATCCGGTCGCCAACGGTCGCCGGAAATCGCCAGCTCCCCATTGAAATGAATGGTATCGCGTCGCTTGGTCGCGTGTAGTGTGACGGTACTGATCCACTTGTCCGTGGGACACTTCAGTCGCGCCGCACTCCACTTTATTCCTATGGGTGACGTCACGCGACTTTAACGCGCCCGCAAAGCATCCCGGGAAGGCGGCGCTTCATTTGGAAAAATGCTGCGCGTCAAAAAGCTGGCCGATGCCCAGCTTTATGCAAATGAATCCGTCAAACGCGACGCGTCTATCCAATAGAAGTAGTCTCTCGAGGGGCCTTTGTTCTAGACTGGCCGCTGGGTCAAAACCACGCCCATAGCGGTAAACTTGAGGAACGCGCATCAACTTACAAATGTGGAGAGGGTGCGGCACCACGCTTCAGTCGTGTCGCAAAAGTGGATCAGTACCGTCAAGCCCTGTTCACACTACTAGCGACTTTGTCGCTGCATGTCGCCAGTGGCTGGCGATGAGGTCGCTAGTGGGAGTTCCCACTACTGGTTGCCTTTATGAATGACATCCAATGATGTGGAGAAGGATCATACGCGCTCCGCTCCTATTGGTTGTCGCTCCCGAAAGTCGCTCCTCATTTGCATAAACTTAAACAGATCTCAACTTTGTCGCGTCCGGGTCACACTCTTGATTTGATTGTATCCAGAGGTTTAAATACTCCCAAGGTTGTAGTGACAGATGTTGCTCTATCTGATCATTTTTGTGTTTTCTTTAACGCTGTTATTTCTGTCTGTAACAACCAAGCGGGTAATCCATCGACCGGAAGTTGAAGCCGGCCGGGTGCCGCCATGTTGTAGCAGAACTTCACTTGCGTTAGCATTTCCATTGACTCCCATTCATTTTGGCGTCACTTTGACAGCGAATAACTTTACATCTGAGGCGTTTAAAGACTCCATTTGTCCATTATTCATTTCTAAAGAAACACGACAATGTATAAAGGGCTCCATTACCTTCTATGTTACATTATGGCCCCGTAGAAACAGATTTAGTAAAAAATAGGCTAACGATTGCGTCATAACCACTCGACTCTCTGTCGCGCTGTACAGAAATGACCGTACAGACAGCAGGAGAAGCTCGCAGGCGATCGGGGGGACGTCCCGTCAAGGGAGAAGCCCATAGATAATGAGTCCATAAAAGCAACGGAATACTTACTCCTGCTCACTCACGCCAAAGAACTCTTTGCTCAAGTTCCCCGTCTCTGCAAGATTAACGTTGGCAATTTTCACGCACAGCTACTAGAAGAGTAACGTCTGTCAGACAGGTTGCTCACGCCATCAAGCTTAGTTTGAGTCGGTTTGAGTCTGCGCGTCAGGAACGGAAGTGCTCAAAAATCGCTAAAAATGGGCTTCAACTGCCTCAACTGAGTTCCAATGAGATGCTCTGTCCACTTCTTATACTGTCTATGGTAACAGTGCTCAAACAAAGATAGTAAGAAAACGGTACATCACTGAAAGTACTAGTGAATTATTCACTCACCTATTTTCCTCCACTCCTACCGTTTCTGGGTCCTCGATTAATGAATTTGTGAATAATTTCAATTGTAAAGTCACAAATGTTATTGATGAAATTGCACCCATTAGGGTTAAAGCTGTCTCTAGTGGAAAAAAAAAGATCTCCCTGGAGGAATGACCAACTTGTAAGATCAGGAAAACGAGAGTGTCGAAAAATTGAACATAAATGGCGAAAAACAAATCTTCAAGTACATTTTGGTGCCTATAAAGAAAGACTTCGCATTTACAATCTGGAACTTAGGAATGCAAGGCGGTCTTTCTTCTCTGATATTATTGCTAAAAACAATAACAATGCACAGGCTTTGTTCGCTACTGTCGATAGACTAACAAACGTAGCAGTAGCATCTGAACTATTATCCACCAAGGCCTGCAATGATTTTGCCACATTCTTCAGCAAAAAAATTCAGAGAATTAGACAATCAGTTAGACATTCAGTTAGTGCCTCCCTATCATGTGTAGATTACGTACTACCGAACCTCTCTGGTGAAATCAATTTCTATATGACAGACTTTCAACTAGTTAACAAAAATAACTTGGAGGATATTATTCAACATCTGAACACTACGTCCTGTTGCCTTGACATCTTGCCGACACACTTTTTTAAAACTGTTTCAAACTGTTTGGTCTTAGACCTTATACAGATTGTTAACATGTCTCTTCAATCAGGTATCTTTCCTCAGGCCCTAAAAACTGCTGTAATCAAGCCACTTTTAAAAAAGAATAATCTAGATAAGTCAAAAATGGATAACTAAAGACCAATATCAAACCTTCCATTTTTAAGTAAAATAATTGAAAAGGCGGTTTTTCAACAACTAAACCTTTTTTTATCCTTAAACAATATTTTTGATGTTTTCCAGTCAGGTTTTCGACCACATTACAGCACTGAGACGGCTCTTGTTAAGGTCTTTAATGACATCCATCTAAACTACGGCAAAACTACAGTACCAGTATTGCTAGATCTCAGTGCTGCTTTTGATACGGTCGACCACGACATACTTTTAAACCGATTGGAAAACTGGATAGGCCTTTCTGGCTCAGTTTTAAAGTGGTTTGAATCCTATTTAAAAAATAGAAACTACTACGTGTCCATAGGCAGTTTTACATCTGAGCACTTAAATATGACGTGTGGAGTTCCCCAAGGGTCCATCCTGGGACCCTTGCTGTTCAATATCTACATGCTTCCACTAGCTAAAATTATGGAAAGAAACAATATTAGTTATCACAGTTATGCGGATGACACGCAAGTCTACATAACTTTGTCACACGGAGACTACAGGCCAATAGGTGCATTGAAGAAATTAATTATTGGATGTGCCAGAACTTTTTAAAATTGAATGAGGATAAAACTGAGGTGATTGTTTTTGGAGCAAAAGACGAACGCCTAAAAGTCAGCACTCATCTCCAAACAACGACAATGTTTAAAACAACTGACAAAGCCAGAAATCTTGGCGTAATTATGGATCCAGACTTGAATTTTAACAATCACGTTAAGGCTTAGGAAGTAGCGTTCAGCTTTTATGCGCCGCATATCTGGAATAAACTTCCTGATGACTGTATGTTTGCAACAACGCTTAGTTCTTTTAAATCAAGGTTGAAGACAAATTTATTTAGGGTTGCGTATTCTTAATTATTTTATTCATTCACTGTATTGTATTGTAAATTTTATCAATTTTATTCTTGTATTTTTTAATGTTGTTTTTTATTTTATTTTTTATGTTTGTACATTGTAAAGCACCTTGAATTGCACCACTGCTGAAACGTGCTATATAAATAAAACTGCCTTGCCTTGCCTTGCCTTAATTAAATGATTTTATTCCAGGCTCACTGTTGATTCAGAGGCTGAGGGCGGCCATTTTGAGTTGACATCATTGTAGTCCTCAGTTCACAACACTTCAGAGACAAGGCAAAACCTGCAGGTGTACAGATGCTGTTCAAAAGCAGTGTATATACATCCACACTATCTGTCTGTCCTCCTAGACCTGAACATACTTATGTCGGCAATATTTGTTTCTCTGGGTTAAAGCCTAACAATTACAAAATTAGATCCTTGTTTTTAAGAGAGATTATTTCTACGCCTTATGTTATTTTCTACTGGAGCAGTTTCTTTAGTAATGTAAATTGGACTCAAGTTTGGTCTACCTCAAAAATTCCTCCTTACAAATAAGGTTAAGGAAATCTCATATAAATGAATTCATAGAGTGTATCCTACAAAGGTATTCCTACAAAAATTTAAAATTAATTTTGATTTAAAATGTTCTTTCTGTGAATGCTCCTCTGAAACAATCTCTCATTTGTTTTGGTCTTGCCAATATACCCAGTATTTTTGGAATAATGTGGAGATTTTCATTGCTGATAATATTTTAAAAACATTTAAATTATCGTACAAACATGTGATTTTGGGCTATTATATCAAGGATCGCTCTTTAAAGGATGTTGGTTTTATTGTAAATTTTATTTTATTTCTATGTAAATTTCACATTCATAAATGCAAGTTTACAAAAGGCAAACCTCTTTTTATGGTGCTTGGGAAAGAGATTAAAATGTATGTTGACATGATGTCAAAATCTAAAAATAGTAAAGCAATTAAAGTGATTAATATATGCGCCTCCTTTAACATTTTCACATAATATAAAAATATAAAATTTAATGAATGGTGCTGATCTGTAAAGTATATTATCTGTATTTAAATTGCATTGGAATACCCTGTGGAATTGTTAAATGTATAATGTATATCTATTTGTAAACTGATGCTTATGTACCCTCTCATTTTTTTTTTTTTTTTTATTATTATTATTTTTTTCTTCTTGTTGAGGCATGTGAATTATTTGTTTGTTATATGAGATATGACACTGTACATGCTACCTGTTGTTGACAATAAAGCATAAAAATAAAAATAAAAAAAAACACTTCAGAGACTTCATAAATAGCTCCTAGCCTCCTACTCTTACACAAGTCCTACTTTTTACTAAGAATTCGAACACTTAATTTAATACTTAAACCTATTATTTTTCTCTAGCATTTTTTGAAAAGTTTAATACATGTGGCCCATGATTTGTGAAATAATGTTACCTGGTCATTTTGTGCCAATACAGCTTTTTTTGCAGTTATTTAAAATGCATCTGATCACTCTGCACAATAATATAGAAACGATGTGAATCAACACCTGAAGCAGCTAACATTACGAAACAAAAAAATGGCTGTCACTGCAATACCTTTGACCATGACTGTAGGTCCCATGGTCCTGCGCGTGCTCGTGCATTAGTCACACACTCACACACGCGCACACACACGCGAGCGCGCGCACGCTGATTCTCAGTCTCATTCAGGCCTTGTTGACGTTCGGTTTCATATCTTCATCGCTCTCACAGTCACGGTAAGAACAGCACAAATCAGCCATATTAACGTGTCCTGGTGTGTTTTGATAGTGAAGTGACGCAGGGAATGTATTTTTGTGTGATATTATGATGTTTTAAACCGGTTGACGTGATGAATACAGCGGTTGCTATGAGAGGCCCGTAGCCGCGCTGCTAACGTTAGCTTAGCATCACAAACAGCCTGTGCTTTATCCTAATGTGGTGTTTTCTGATTCCGTTCTTTGAATAATACAATATGTGACCATGAAAGTCTTCATATTAAACCGTTTACGCTTCATATGTGTGTAGTAAGTTAGAAGTCTGAGTGCTGGTGAATGTGAGCTAACACAGCTAGCATGAGTCATTAGCTTCTGACTGACATTCCCATTCTTTAATAACCTGACTGTAATTGTGTTTTATTCATGCAGATGCCGACTATTAAACTGCAGAGCTCTGATGGAGAGATGTTTGAGGTGGATGTTGAAATCGCCAAGCAGTCTGTGACTATCAAAACCATGCTTGAAGGTAAGATGTGCTGAGATGTTGTGCTGGAAGCATGTTGTTGTGAATATGATATGTGAAGTGTGTTGTAATCTCTGCTGTCTTCTGCTCAGATCTGGGGATGGACGATGAAGGAGATGATGATCCGGTTCCTCTGCCCAATGTAAACGCAGCCATCCTGAAGAAGGTCAAACTTTTACATTGACATTATGCTTAATTGAATTTCATATCAGAGCGGGTATATTTACAGCCTCCCCAAACGTGTCTAGATCATATTTTACCACACAGTTCGGTAACACTTAGTTTTACAGTGTCCTTGTTACATATATTACATGTACTTACCATAGTAATAACAGTAAATTATGCATAATTACATGCAACTAACCGTCAACCAAACCCTAATCCTACTCTAACCCTATAGTAAGTACATGTAGTTAATGAATATTACTCAGTGCTTAAATATATAATTACACTGTCTGTAACAATGACATCTTAAAATAAAGTGTTACACACAGTAATAGTAGGCCTAAATGACTCCGTACATATGGAAATAATTTGCACTAGGCTGTCTGTTCCTTGAAGTACCATCGTTGATAATGAATATACACTAATAATTGTGTATATACATATATAAACTACTGTAGGAATCAGGTTTACTGTGCTTGTTTGTAGGGCTGCACAATTTAACAATTATAAATCAATAATAATGATTATTATTAATGATTATTGGTGTTATTATTGTTTATCTAAATAAAAAAACAGAAATACAACAATGGTAATATTTCACTGTAAAAGAAAAATAAATTTTACACTACTACTGTAAAATTTAAATTCCAATATTTATAGGTGTTCATTTTTTTCATTTGAAATGTTAAACCATTAAACGTTTTTTGACAGAAAACCGCAGCTAGCCCTTAAAGTTAGTTCACCCCAAAATGGCTACTCTCCCTCGTGTCGTTACAAACCCGTAAGATTTTCATTCATCTTCTAAACACAAATTAACACATTTTTAATGAAATCTGAGAGATATCTGTCCCATTTTGACGCTTCAAAAAGTTCATAAAACAAATCCCTATGAATCAAGCTAATTTTCAGAAGAGATACAATCACTTTATATGATGTACAGATTTAATTTCGGCTTTTTTCCTCATGTAAACATGATCATTAGCGAACATTAACAGAAGCTCAACCGTATTCGCTTGATCTTCTGTTTGCCACAGCTGATGTGTGTGTTGAGGAATTTTTATATGTGAATAAAAGCTTGAATTTAATCTGTTCATCATATAAAGCGATCGAGTCTCTTCAGAAACTCTGGACTAAACCGCTCGATTCATATGGATTCGGTTTCCGTTCTCTTTATGAACTGGTAGTTGCGTAGCCTGTCAATGGAGGGACACAAATCTCTCAGGTTTCATTAAAAATATCTTCATTTGTGTTTCAAAGATGAGCGTAAGTCTTGTGTAATACTGTGTGTGTGTGTAATACTCCAGTGTCCGTCGTCCATGGGCCTGAGCCGTGTGGTGTGTTTGGTATGTCCACAGGTGATTCAGTGGTGCACCCACCATAAAGACGACCCTCCTCCACCCGAAGACGACGAGAATAAAGAGAAAAGAACGGATGACATTCCCGTGTGGGATCAGGAGTTCCTCAAAGTAGACCAGGGCACTCTCTTCGAACTCATTCTGGTCTGTACAACTCACTTTTAGGACAACTTCAGTGCGCGAAACTGTGGATAAATGTGTCACTCTGCACTTAATGACGCTAAACCAGTCCAGAAGCACTTGCTTAAAGGGATAATGAAAACTCTGTCAGTAATTACTCGCCCTCATGTCGTTCCAGACTAACTTTTCCACTGGTTGCACTGGTGCTACCAACTTTCTCAGTTAGTCGCACCAGCATATAATTTGGTCGCACCTTTTTTTTTTTTTTTTGCCACATGCCATGGGATTAATCAATGCATGCTGATGAATAGTGGTTTTAATGGACCAAGGCTAGCAAACACTTTCTGTGTTGCAGCAGAAATACCTGTAATATATTAATTATCATTGCCAAATTTCAGGATTTTCTTGGATTTTGGACAGTAATTTTAATCTGTAATTTTAAGCGTTTTACATTTGAATTATATACAATCTATTTACATTTGAATCATATTCTATCTATCTGTCTATCTGTCTATCTATCTATCTATCTGTCTATTATCATCTTTCTATCTTTTAAAAATCATTAAACATTCAAATGTATGCATTACATTTTAAAAGATTAGAGTATTATAATAAACTGATACAGATTTTTCGTTATCAAAGTTTATAGTTGTAACAAAAAGCAGAAATCTCACACTCCTTCCCTTCTGCATTTTATAATAATTCCCTTTTCCTCTGTGGAGTGATCATGAGAGTAATCGCTCGACAGAGGAAAATATAACCGCTGAAAAGACGTAGGAGGAAGGGGCTCTGTGTTTCGTGAGACCTTTTCATTTTTATATGCCTTAATTCCTGAATTCGTAATTGGCGCGTTTCACCATCAGTGTGCAATGCGCGTGACGTCTACGTTCGTCAATAAATAAACTGCACGTGTCTTGCGGAAGAACACTGTAGCCGGAGCTACTTCTCTCCGTTAATGTCTATGGCGAGTCACGCAGGCACTGGGCTACTCCGCAGCCGAGACGAGCCCGGGATAAAATAGTCTGAATATAAACACTTATTATAGGCGTACCGTAGGGATTCAGAATAAGTCAAAAACACGGTTTGGAAAATGGATTCATGATGTACTCGCTCATTTTGAACATAAGTTACGGACTGCAGCAGCTGATACAGCGGCGTTCTGTTGCTCGAGCGTCCACTCGCACTAATGCGACCACATAACATTTTAACTCGCACATTCTCAAAAAATGGTCGCAGTCTGGAACCCTGTATATATAAAAAGAGCACAAAATAAATCCATATGAATGAAGCGGTTTAATCCAAGGCTTCAGAAGAGACCGGATACCTTGATGAGTTTAACAATAATGATATAACTAGAGGTTCTGACACAATTTTAATTGCTGCAGTCTATTTAAAATGTTTATTTAATTTGAATGAATCACTTAAACTCTGAGTGAATGATTCAATGACTCACTCATAAAGACCTATTGCATTTTTGAACGAATCTCTTGAGTGAATGATTCAAATGACGACAACTTTTTTTAAATCACTCGTCGCCACTTGTGTTATGTAATCGATGCAATCGTTATTTGAAACGTCAAGTTACTTTCAAGATCGGTGATTTCTATATTTTGAATGCGTTTATATTCGAACTATAACCTTTTAGTGACTTCTGTGACCGTGTGAATGATTGTAAGACAGAACTAATGATCCTGTTTGTGAAGCGGTTTCATGCCTGTACATGACTCTCTCTGGACCAGAACTCAGATCTGATGTTCGCTGTGATCGGACTTGTTAAAGGTTTAATCGACAGAGGCGAACCGCTGCCGTTTAGGAATAAGACCGCGATGTTAACAGTTAATCATAGCTCTAATAATAAACACTGATTTCATTTGATTGGTAGCGGCTGGGACGAGACACCTATCTCCCGATACGATCACGATACTTGGGTGCCGATACGATATGGATTGCGATTTGTTTTTTAAGAATTGCGATTCTATAATTATTCGATATTGCAATATATATTGCACATTTTTTTAACACTAGACCATGGGGAAAAGTTAAATCATACACTTATACAGACTGTACATGATTTATAAGGTGAGTCATATTTACAAAAACAAATCATCACATCTTTCTGACTTGTATTTCAGAAGCATCATACAATACTACATTCTCCTAAATTATTCAATAACAAAAACATTTTTAACAGTCACTTGTACAATATAACAAACAATGTAATCGATAAATGCGTTATTTTAAGCACCAAGCACATCGCTATCGTAGACATCAGTGTTCATATTTGAACTTTAAACTTTTATCCAAGGACTTCTATGGTAATTTGAACCATTGAGCATCACAGAAATAATGATACTCGTCTACAAGCAAGGACAAAAATAAAGCAATTTCATTTGACTTAACAATAGATTTTAGAATTGCAAAAAAATAAAAAATAATAAAATCGCGACAGCTAGGTGAAGCGATGTTTTCGCCCAGCCCTAGTTTAACAGCCTATATTATCAATCCATATTTGCACTGCAGAAGCAGCTTTCAAATGTATTTACACTGTGATTACAATTACATAATGCTATGGGTGTTCAAATATTGTGAATATTGAAATGACTTTAAATGGCCAGTAGGTGGCAGCAAGTCACTGTCTTAATGCGCGAGTCATTTAGCTACAGTAATCCGGATACATCTGAAAACGATGATGCGTGTTGGTCATGTGATGCATGCTGTACCGATAGATATATTTATACCAGTGTCTAAAATGTAACTGGCATGGATCCTTCATGCGTTTGCTGGCCACAAGATGGCCGCCTCTTCATTTGCCCAACGTCCATTTGCTGACTTTCATCTCTTGTCTTTTGTTTAGGCTGCAAATTACTTGGACATCAAAGGTTTGCTAGATGTGACCTGCAAGACGGTGGCGAACATGATCAAAGGCAAAACCCCAGAGGAGATCAGAAAGACGTTCAATATCAAAAATGATTTCACAGAGGAAGAGGAAGCCCAGGTAAAAACAAGAGCTCATTTCCCATTTCTCGTGCTGTAATGCGCTCGCGCTCACCAGAGTGTGTGTGTGTGTGTGTGTTGCAGGTACGCAAGGAGAACCAGTGGTGTGAAGAGAAGTGAAGCATCCTGACACACTTTAACACTATGGATCGGTCCAAAAAAACGTAAAAAAAAGTAATTAAAAAAATTGCACTGCGCTGTTCATATTTAACACAAATAAACAGTCAAATCCCATGTGTTTTGCTAGCATGTGTGGTGTAAAAGCTTTTTTGTTAAACCACCATTTCCTTTTCTCATTTTCTCACTGGAACTAGTAACCCATGTAGAGAAAACACTCCCTTCGCCACAGTTTTTATTTTTAACTGAGCTCGTCGCCAAACGGCTGATTTGGATTTCTTCTTTTTTTTTTTTATATATGAACATTTTATAAGCAGCCTGATTTGTGCTGACGAGAGATCAGTGTTGGAAAGATGTATAAAACGTGTGTTGTGAACTGGAAGTACTTGTGTCTGCTTTCACTTGGTTTTCTTTGCTTCATTGTATAGGACTGAAAGTCACAGTTCTGCTCGGAAATGGCAGGCAATTAGGATTATAAATCTTTTAATTCCAAAAAATAAAACGATTATTGTGGGGTTTGTCCGTTCTTTCTGCAATATTTCTGCACCTTTAGACTGTTAAATAGTCAGTTTTATATGTAGCTTTCTTCATCGGCACAGTAGCGTTTAAAGGAGTTTAGAAACCCTTGTTATTAGTGACACCGGTGGCCGTTCAGTGAAACTGCAGCAGACGCACTCGTGAACACGTAACATACAACAGACTGAGCAAGATTCAAGGCCCCGATATACTCACGGAGAAGCTCTTTTTCGTTCTTCGTTTAGAAGTAAAAAGTTCGAGATACAGTTGCAGCGATATACCGTTAACGAACATCCCGACGCTGTTTCGTTCTTCGTTTAGAAGTAAAAAGTTAGAAATACAGTTGCAGCGATATACCGTTAACGAACATCCGACGCCATTTCGTTCTTCGTTTAGAAGTAAAAAGTTAGAAATACAGTTGCAGCGATATACCGTTAACGAACATCCGACGCTGTTTCGTTCTTCGTTTAGAAGTAAAAAGTTAGAAATACAGTTGCAGCGATATACCGTTAACGAACATCCGACGCTGTTTCGTTCTTCGTTTAGAAGTAAAAAGTTAGAAATACAGTTGCAGTGATATACCGTTAACGAACATCCCGACGCCGTTTCGTTCTTCGTTTAGAAGTAAAAAGTTAGGAATACAGTTGCAGTGATATACCGTTAACGAACATCCCGACGCTGTTTCGTTCTTCGTTTAGAAGTACCGTTAACGAACATCCCGACGCCGTTTCGTTCTTCGTTTAGAAGTAAAAAGTTAGAAATACAGTTGCAGCGATATACCGTTAACGAACATCCCGACGCTGTTTCGTTCTTCGTTTAGAAGTACCGTTAACGAACATCCCGACGCCGTTTCGTTCTTCGTTTAGAAGTAAAAAGTTAGAAATACAGTTGCAGTGATATACCGTTAACGAACATCCCGACGCTGTTTCGTTCTTCGTTTAGAAGTACCGTTAACGAACATCCCGACGCTGTTTCGTTGTTCGTTTAGAAGTAAAAAGTTAGAAATACAGTTGCAGTGATATACCGTTAACGAACATCCCGACGCTGTTTCGTTCTTAGTTTAGAAGTACCGTTAACGAACATGCCGACGCAGTTTCGTTCTTCGTTTAGAAGTAAAAAGTTAGAAATACAGTTGCAGCGATATACCGTTAACGAACATCCGACGCTGTTTCGTTCTTCGTTTAGAAGTACCGTTAACGAACATCCCGACGCCATTTCGTTCTTCGTTTAGAAGTAAAAAGTTAGAAATATAGTTGCAGCGATATACCGTTAACGAACATCCCGACGCTGTTTCGTTCTTCGTTTAGAAGTAAAAAGTTGGAAATATAGTTGCAGCGATATACCGTTAACGAACATCCGACGCTGTTTCGTTTAGAAGTAAAAAGTTAGAAATATAGTTGCAGCGATATACCGTTAACGAACATCCGACGCTGTTTCGTTCTTCGTTTAGAAGTAAAAAGTTAGAAATACAGTTGCAGCGATATACCGTTAACGAACATCCCGACACTGTTTCGTTCTTCGTTTAGAAGTAAAAAGTTAGAAATACAGTTGCAGCGATATACCGTTAACGAACATCCCGACACTGTTTCGTTCTTCGTTTAGAAGTAAAAAGTTAGAAATACAGTTGCAGCGATATACCGTTAACGAACATCCCGACGCGGTTTCGTTCTTCGTTTAGAAGTATCGTTAACGAACATCCCGACGCCATTTCACTCTTCGTTTGGAAGTAAAAAGTTAGAAATACAGTTGCAGTGATATACCGTTAACGAACATCCCGACGCTGTTTCGTTCTTAGTTTAGAAGTACCGTTAACGAACATCCCGACGCCGTTTCGTTATTCGTTTAGAAGTAAAAAGTTAGAAATACAGTTGCAGTGATATACCGTTAACGAACATCCCGACGCTGTTTCGTTCTCAGTTTAGAAGTACCGTTAACGAACATCCCGACGCCGTTTCGTTCTTCGTTTAGAAGTAAAAAGTTAGAAATACAGTTGCAGCGATATACCGTTAACGAACATCCCGACGCGGTTTCGTTCTTCGTTTAGAAGTATCGTTAACGAACATCCCGACGCCATTTCACTCTTCGTTTGGAAGTAAAAAGTTAGAAATACAGTTGCAGTGATATACCGTTAACGAACATCCCGACGCCGTTTCGTTCTTCGTTTAGAAGTACCGTTAACGAACATCCCGACGCCGTTTCGTTCTTAGTTTAGAAGTAAAAAGTTAGAAATACAGTTGCAGTGATATACCGTTAACGAACATCCCGACGCCGTTTCGTTCTTAGTTTAGAAGTACCGTTAACGAACATCCCGACGCCGTTTCGTTCTTCGTTTAGAAGTAAAAAGTTAGAAATACAGTTGCAGTGATATACCGTTAACGAACATCCCGACGCTGTTTCGTTCTTCGTTTAGAAGTATCGTTAACGAACATCCCGACGCCATTTCACTCTTCGTTTGGAAGTAAAAAGTTAGAAATACAGTTGCAGTGATATACCGTTAATGAACATCCCGACGCTGTTTCGTTCTTAGTTTAGAAGTACCGTTAACGAACATCCTGACGCTGTTTCGTTCTTAGTTTAGAAGTAAAAAGTTAGAAATACAGTTGCAGTGATATACCGTTAACGAACATCCCGACGCTGTTTCGTTCTTCGTTTAGAAGTACCGTTAACGAACATCCCGACGCCGTTTCGTTCTTAGTTTAGAAGTACCGTTAACGAACATCCCGACGCCGTTTCGTTCTTCGTTTAGAAGTAAAAAGTTAGAAATACAGTTGCAGTGATATACCGTTAACGAACATCCCAAAGCTGTTTCGTTCTTCGTTTAGAAGTATCGTTAACGAACATCCCGACGCCATTTCACTTTTCGTTTGGAAGTAAAAAGTTAGAAATACAGTTGCAGTGATATACCGTTAACGAACATCCCGACGCTGTTTCGTTCTTAGTTTAGAAGTACCGTTAACGAACATCCCGACGCCGTTTCGTTCTTCGTTTAGAAGTACCGTTAACGAACATCCCGACGCCATTTCACTTTTCGTTTGGAAGTAAAAAGTTAGAAATACAGTTGCAGTGATATACCGTTAACGAACATCCCGACGCTGTTTCGTTCTTAGTTTAGAAGTACCGTTAACGAACATCCCGACGCCGTTTCGTTCTTCGTTTAGAAGTAAAAAGTTAGAAATACAGTTGCAGTGATATACCGTTAACGAACATCCCGACGCTGTTTCGTTCTTCGTTTAGAAGTACCGTTAACGAACATCCCGACGCGGTTTCGTTCTTCGTTTAGAAGTAAAAAGTTAGAAATACAGTTGCAGTGATATACCGTTAACGAACATCCCGACGCTGTTTCGTTCATCGTTTAGAAGTATCGTTAACGAACATCCCGACGCCATTTCACTTTTCGTTTGGAAGTAAAAAGTTAGAAATACAGTTGCAGTGATATACCGTTAACGAACATCCCGACGCTGTTTCGTTCTTAGTTTAGAAGTACCGTTAACGAACATCCCGACGCCGTTTCGTTCTTCGTTTAGAAGTATCGTTAACGAACATCCCGACGCCATTTCACTTTTCGTTTGGAAGTAAAAAGTTAGAAATACAGTTGCAGTGATATACCGTTAACGAACATCCCGACGCTGTTTCGTTCTTAGTTTAGAAGTACCGTTAACGAACATCCCGACGCCGTTTCGTTCTTCGTTTAGAAGTAAAAAGTTAGAAATACAGTTGCAGTGATATACCGTTAACGAACATCCCGACGCTGTTTCGTTCTTCGTTTAGAAGTACCGTTAACGAACATCCCGACGCGGTTTCGTTCTTCGTTTAGAAGTAAAAAGTTAGAAATACAGTTGCAGTGATATACCGTTAACGAACATCCCGACGCTGTTTCGTTCTTCGTTTAGAAGTATCGTTAACGAACATCCCGACGCCATTTCACTTTTCGTTTGGAAGTAAAAAGTTAGAAATACAGTTGCAGTGATATACCGTTAACGAACATCCCAACGCTGTTTCGTTCTTAGTTTAGAAGTACCGTTAACGAACATCCCCACGCCGTTTCGTTCTTCGTTTAGAAGTATCGTTAACGAACATCCCAACGCCATTTCACTTTTCGTTTGGAAGTAAAAAGTTAGAAATACAGTTGCAGTGATATACCGTTAACGAACATCCCGACGCTGTTTCGTTCTTAGTTTAGAAGTAAAAAGTTAGAAATACAGTTGCAGTGATATACCGTTAACGAACATCCCGACGCTGTTTCGTTCTTCGTTTAGAAGTACCGTTAACGAACATCCCGACGCCGTTTCGTTCTTCGTTTAGAAGTAAAAAGTTAGAAATACAGTTGCAGTGATATACCGTTAACGAACATCCCGACGCTGTTTCGTTCTTCGTTTAGAAGTAAAAAGTTAGAAATACAGTTGCAGCGATATACCGTTAACGAACATCCGACGCCATTCACACTGTTGAGAGCGACGGTTAGATGAATATGTAAATATGTGTTGTGCTTTCCTCTCAATAACACAATAAACACAACTAAGAGTTCAGGAAGCATCTGATCATAGTGATGCGAATGTGTTTGGCCCAGCTTTGTGTTTCACCGGCATCATGTCTACAGATGTCATTAAAATTACACACTTATGATTATAAAGTATATTTGAGACTATAGACTAGATCTGCCTATGTGAGACTATAGTTTGAAAGAATCCCTTTTGTTTGCATGATATACTGGCATTACAGTACAGAACGGCTCTTATCCTGAACATTGTATAAGCATTAGTTTCCTGTGCTGGAAAGAGCGGCTCTCTGGAGCGCACGCAAACGCCACAAACATCTGATTTTCCCAGCCAACCCAACCCGATTTACAAGCCGCTTACACATTGGCAATGCTAATAGCAAAGAATATTCTTACATGTGGCCTTTAACTGCAATTCTAACATTTGTTGTGTGATGCTCTAAACAATACTTGTGAACTCGTCACCATTATAAACGTGCGCCTCCTTATCGGGAACCTGCGCCAATTCATTCCCAGAATTTACACTCTTGATATCAACAATTCAATTTTCTCTAGTTTTTGAAATCAATAATTCGTTTGTCACTAGTTACAATGATAATTTCTGATATATTCACGAATGTGATTGTTACTAGAAAGGACGCCATTTTAGATATCTGAAATTACTCTCCTCATTATTGATATGAGAAATACATTTTTAGATATCAAAAATTACATGTAACATTTTGAAATGTATTTACGATTTCAAGAAGTAACATTTCAACTAGTGAGAATTGAGTTAATGATATCAGGAATTTATATTTTTACTAGTAACAAAGTAATTACTGAAATAAAAAATTATGATTTTTTTTTACTTGTAAGAAATCAATTCTTTCTAGTTGAATTTGAATGGCAGCTTATGGTGAAAATACTATTACAGATATCAAGAATTATAGTTTTTACTAGTGGAAATTTTATTCCTGATAGGAATTAGCTATTGTAAGCCGTTTTAACTTTTATTCATTTGGGTATGAATCCTTGATATTCAATTTTCACTAGTTAAAATGATAATTATTGATATCAGGAATAATATTTCTACTAGTAACAATGGCAATTTTTGATATCAACAATTGAGTTGCAACTAGTAAAAACTATAATTGTTGATATCTGTAATTGTATCTTCACCAGTAAAGTGTCACCATTGGCTGCCATTCATAATCAATTTACTAGTTGAAATTTCACGGATCAGAAATACAATTCTTACTAGTGAATACCTTTATTTTTGATATCAATAATTCAATCGTCACTAGTTGAAATGTCTATTCTTGATTTCAACAATTGAAATGCTACTAGTAACAATGTTCATTTTTGATATCAATAATTAAATTTTCTCTAGAGACAATGCTAATTTCTGATATCATGAATGTGATTATTAATAGTAAGACCCATTTTAGATATCTGAAATATTAATGATATCAGAAATACATTTTCAGATATCAAAAATATATATATTTTTTACTAGTATATTTTCAATTGTTGATATCAAGAATAGACCTTTCAACTAGTGACAATTGAATTCTTAATATCAGGAATTTGCATTTTTACTAGTAACAATAATTATTGATATCAAAAATCATATTTCTACTAGTAAGAAATCAATTCTTGAAATCAACAATTGATTATGAATGGCAGCCAATGGTGACATTTCACTGGTGAAAATAGAATTACAGATATCAACAATTCATATCCTGGAAATTAATAAAAGTTAAACGGCTTGCCATAATTAGCTGATATCAAGAACTCAAACCCTGGTAATGAATTAAAGTGAATGAATGACTTTTCTGACAGTTGGAGCTCCGTGTGTTCGAGTCGATGGATGAAGTCACGTTAAAGTGTTGAGTGTCAGGAACAATGAAAGATCACCTTTAAACAGAGTTTTCAAAATATTTTAATAAATCTAGAGAATGATTGTTACATCAGAAGCGAAAGTAAGCGAGCTGGCTCCCTCTGCTGGCCTGACTGAGACACACCCGAGGGAACACACAACACACACACACACACACACACAGAATACATGCACATACTTCATTTCAAACGCTGACGTATGACAGGCGTCGCAGACTACAGATCTACACAACAAAAACTTAAAAATGGCATTTGTATGAATAAAAGTAAACAGCCCAAGATTTTTTTTTTGTTTTTTTCTCTTTACATAAAAACATATAAAAGTTGAGTTATTTACGGACTTTCATATCTATAAAAGAATAAGTTTTACAACACAGTTACTTGATTGTAGAATTGAGAACTTTTCAGTGATGTAGAGACACATGGCATTAAGTGATGGATCATCGGCAGTCGTAAGCGGTTTAACACACAGTGGCTGAATCTCACGGAGAAATACACGAGAAAATCGAGGCTTTAAGACTATTCAGGCTCTTTGGATTGTGACATTATCTTCAAGACAATTAAGCACATTCCCGCCAAACCCTCATGACTGTAATGGATCAATGGTACTTTCTAATGAGAATGAGAACTACAGTCGCATTACTGTAATACAGAAAATCATATTTAACCCTCTGGTACTGTTCGCGTGTCAGTCAAAAAAGAAAAAATAATATTTTGTATTTTTAAGGGTTTTTATAGTACTAAATTATATTTATGCAGTATTTATAATTTATTCACTTTTTGAGCATAGACCTGAAAATTTAATTTCCAACTTAAACTGTCGTACATCTTAAGTTTGATCTCTCTTTAAAGACGCCACTTGGCAGATTATTGCTGAGGTGAAGAGTTTAAAAAGTTAATTATTGTGATGGAAAAATGCAGAAAAATACTATTTTAATTTTTTTTATATAAAATATATATTTTCCAAAACACGTTTTACTCTAAAACTGTGAGAAAATCAAAGCCAGAAATCTAAACAAGCTGTTTTGCAATTTTTATATCTCCAAAAACGAGCTTTCAGTGCGAGTGTGTTCGGCTGCAGTACCGAACGCTTCCACTAGAGGAAACTCTCTCATTCATTTCTAATGCGCTCATTTTTGAGGCGAGGAGCACAAGTGTGACTATTCTTTACAGGACCATTAACCTCTTCCAATCATGTCCATATTTTTGTGTGTGTGTGTGTGTGTGTGTGTGTGTTCAAACAGCAAGTGCCAAAATCTTTACCAAGTTTCGTAGCAATCCGATGAAGTGAAAAAAAGTACTATTTTTCATTTCAAAAATGATTTCATTTCAAAAATGACTGAACAGCACTAGAGGATTAATATATATTGTTTCCTATATAATTGTCCAAACTACAGTACCAAAATGCAAAAAAAAAAACAAATTTTTGTTAATGAAAACAATAATATGCTTAATTGTCAATAAAAGAAAAGAGAGAAAACGTTCTTCATGAGATTCACCCACGAGAAAATCTATTGCCACGACTTCCTAAAAAGATGAATGACGCGCCACATACATTTTTTTTTTCTTTTTGAGGAGTAAACAGGAGCACAGAACGTGAGGAGTGAGTCTCGGCATGGGTTATTGTGGCTGGGGCGTCGTGCTCTCTGTTTTAATTCTGCTGAAGTGGAGCGAGAGTCTGGGCGGGTGGGCGGAGCGTTTGCCACTCTGTGGGCGGGGCCTGCTGGCGGGGGAGGCGGGGCTTGGCAGGTGATTGACAGGTGAGGGGGAGGAGTCTATAGCACTTCCATCGGAAGAATGGGGGCTGGCGCAGCGTCCTCGCTGAAGGTAGCGAATGCACTTCTTTTTCCTCCTAGGAACAGTCAAGAGAGTTATCTGTGAATAAAGCGTGGATGTGAAACGTCACAAATGTGAACAATGACAGAAAATAAAAGCACACAAAAAACAAAGGTAACACTTTATTTTAAGGTGTCATTGTTACAGTGTAATTATGTATTTAAGTACTGAGTAATATTAACTACATGTACTGACTATAGGGTTTGGATGAGGGTTAGTTGCATGTAATTATGCATAATTTACTGTTATTACTATGGTAAGTACATTTAACAAGGACACTGTAAAATAAAGTGTTACCAAAACAAACAGTTATGCAAGAATATGAGCTACTGCTCTATTAAAGTCCCCTGACGAGGTCGTAACCCACGCATTTGTGCTCAAAACCGGCGTGTGAATGTTTATATTCAGAAATTACGACTCTTCAGGAAGTTCACACATAAATGTATTCTAAATTTAGGATACATTTTTGAACCAACTCAAACCTTAAAGTTAAAAAGATCAGATCCGGCACATGTGGATTCCACACGGCCGGCTCTTCAACCTATTTAAAATCACCAAGGCATGTTTTCCAGCAGGAACGATATTTAGTCCTGCTTAAATACAGTGGAGTGCATACGTTCGCAGAATCTTTAAGACCGTAATTATTAAAATGAGGAAAAAAAGAGGGATCATAAGATTTGTGTGGACTATATGCAAATATCTTGTGTAACTTTTTAAGGACAGAACTAAGAAAAAAACATCTTAATGGTAAAATATGCAAATCAGACATTATCTAATTAAATATGCACTAATTTGCATACATTTCCAGAACATAAATATGCAGATTGCATAATGCCAGGTTCAAAATTCTTGTTTGATTTTGTTGACATATTAGAATCAAAGGGATTTTGGATAAATCAGAGGGAAAAATACATTTTCACCATGTTTTTAGGATATATATTGTTCTATAAATCAGGCGAATGATATATGAATATAGATTGGAATAACACTGTAAAGTTTGGTGTGTGTGAGGCTGCTGAAGTGGAGATTTCTAATCTTTAAAGATATGTTTTGTAATTGAAATCTAGACAAAAATGGACAAAAGTGTAATAAAATAAACACTTAAATGTGTATTGTGGATTTTTCTTTCCACTCGTCTGAAAGAAGATAAAATGCATGAAAGTGCATGAAAAAACAATGTTTTTGTCCATAGTGTATAAACCTATGGACTTCCATGCACTGAAGGAATAGGTCATCCTACAATGAAGTGTTTACCCACCCTCATGCATGATACAGCAACAGAATATTACAGTTAGTGTTGAAGTGGAAAGTGTTATCAGCTATCGTCTGTAAACCGCAGCGCTACCAAACCACAGTGCCAACCCGCCAGGAGAGCCTGGAGATCAGATCCACCGCAGTCACTTCAGACACAAATCAAAGTCTCACACACTCGCCCGCATCAAAGTGTCCCTGACAGGAGCGTTAGCAGCGCTCGGCCACCACAGGAAACTGAGCTCGGAGACGTCGAGCTGGAGCTCCGGCTGACCACAGTGAGCAGACGCTTTACTGAGGGCACGAGGAGGCGTGAGCTCGACACTCCAGCGGAAGCAGAGCGCTCGGGATGTGTCCACAGACGCCACTCGTGTTGCGTCATTCTGCACTTCTAGCATGGACTAGCATTGTTATTTGTGTTATTTTGTTACTCGTGTTACGCAGCACGTTTGAGCTTCTCAAGAACCAATCAGGTCCATTCTCGTGATATAAGAACCAATGAGGTTCATTCTTGTGTTACGCAGCACGTTTGAGCTTCTCAAGAGCCAATGAGGTTCATTCTCGTGTTACGCAGCACGTTTGAGCTTCAGCAAGAACCAATGAGGTTCATTCACGTGTTACGCAGCACGTTTGAGCTTCTGCAAGAGCCAATGAGGTTCATTCTCGTGTTACGCAGCACGTTTGAGCTTCTCAAGAGCCAATGAGGTTCATTCTCGTGTTACGCAGCACGTTTGAGCTTCTGCAAGAGCCAATGAGGTTCATTCTCGTGTTATGCAGCACGTTTGAGCTTCTGCAAGAACCAATGAGGTTCATTCTCGTGTTATGCAGCACGTTTGAGCTTCAGCAAGAACCAATGAGGTTCATTCTCGTGTTACGCAGCACGTTTGAGCTTCTCAAGAGCCAATGAGGTTCATTCTTGTGTTACGCAGCACGTTTGAGCTTCAGCAAGAACCAATGAGGTTCATTCTCGTGTTACGCAGCACGTTTGAGCTTCTCAAGAGCCAATGAGGTTCATTCTCGTGTTACGCAGCACGTTTGAGCTTCTCAAGAGCCAATGAGGTTCATTCTCGTGTTACGCAGCACGTTTGAGCTTCTCAAGAGCCAGTGAGGTTCATTCTCGTGTTATAAGAACCAATGAGGTTCATTCTCGTGTTATAAGAACCAATGAGGTTCATTCTCGTGTTACGCAGCACGTTTGAGCTTCTCAAGAGCCAATGAGGTTCATTCTCGTGTTATAAGAACCAATGAGGTTCATTCTCGTGTTACGCAGCACGTTTGAGCTTCAGCAAGAGCCAATGAGGTTCATTCTCGTGTTACGCAGCACGTTTGAGCTTCTCAAGAACCAATGAGGTTCATTCTCGTGTTACGCAGCACGTTTGAGCTTCTCAAGAGCCAATGAGGTTCATTCTCGTGTTACGCAGCACGTTTGAGCTTCTCAAGAGCCAATGAGGTTCATTCTCGTGTTATAAGAACCAATGAGGTTCATTCTCGTGTTATAAGAACCAATGAGGTTCATTCTCGTGTTACGCAGCACGTTTGAGCTTCTCAAGAGCCAATGAGGATCATTCTCGTGTTACGCAGCACGTTTGAGCTTCTCAAGAACCAATGAGGATCATTCTCGTGTTACGCAGCACGTTTGAGCTTCAGCAAGAGCCAATGAGGTTCATTCTCGTGTTACGCAGCACGTTTGAGCTTCTCAAGAACCAATGAGGTTCATTCTCGTGTTACGCAGCACGTTTGAGCTTCTCAAGAGCCAATGAGGTTCATTCTCGTGTTACGCAGCACGTTTGAGCTTCTCAAGAGCCAATGAGGTTCATTCTCGTGTTATAAGAACCAATGAGGTTCATTCTCGTGTTATAAGAACCAATGAGGTTCATTCTCGTGTTACGCAGCACGTTTGAGCTTCTCAAGAGCCAATGAGGTTCATTCTCGTGTTATAAGAACCAATGAGGTTCATTCTCGTGTTACGCAGCACGTTTGAGCTTCAGCAAGAGCCAATGAGGTTCATTCTCGTGTTACGCAGCACGTTTGAGCTTCTCAAGAACCAATGAGGTTCATTCTCGTGTTACGCAGCACGTTTGAGCTTCTCAAGAGCCAATGAGGTTCATTCTCGTGTTACGCAGCACGTTTGAGCTTCTCAAGAACCAATGAGGTTCATTCTCGTGTTACGCAGCACGTTTGAGCTTCTCAAGAGCCAATGAGGTTCATTCTCGTGTTACGCAGCACGTTTGAGCTTCTCAAGAGCCAATGAGGTTCATTCTCGTGTTACGCAGCACGTTTGAGCTTCTCAAGAGCCAATGAGGTTCATTCTCGTGTTACGCAGCACGTTTGAGCTTCAGCAAGAACCAATGAGGTTCATTCTCGTGTTACGCAGCACGTTTGAGCTTCAGCAAGAGCCAATGAGGTTCATTCTCGTGTTACGCAGCACGTTTGAGCTTCAGCAAGAACCAATGAGGTTCATTCTCGTGTTACGCAGCACGTTTGAGCTTCAGCAAGAACCAATGAGGTTCATTCTCATGTTACGCAGCACGTTTGAGCTTCAGCAAGAACCAATGAGGTTCATTCTTGTGTTACGCAGCACGTTTGAGCTTCTCAAGAACCAATGAGGTTCATTCTCGTGTTACGCAGCACGTTTGAGCTTCAGCAAGAACCAATGAGGTTCATTCTCGTGTTACGCAGCACGTTTGAGCTTCTCAAGAGCCAATGAGGTTCATTCTGGTGTTACGCAGCACGTTTGAGCTTCTCAAGAGCCAATGAGGTTCATTCTCGTGTTACGCAGCATGTTTGAGCTTCAGCAAGAGCCAATGAGGTTCATTCTGGTGTTACGCAGCACGTTTGAGCTTCTCAAGAGCCAATGAGGTTCATTCTCGTGTTACGCAGCATGTTTGAGCTTCTCAAGAGCCAATGAGGTTCATTCTCGTGTTACGCAGCATGTTTGAGCTTCTCAAGAGCCAATGAGGTTCATTCTCGTGTTACGCAGCAAGTTTTAGCTTATGCAAGAGCCAATGAGGTTCATTCTCGTGTTACGCAGCACGTTTGAGCTTCTCAAGAGCCAATGAGGTTCATTCTTGTGTTACGCAGCACGTTTGAGCTTCTCAAGAGCCAATGAGGTTCATTCTTGTGTTACGCAGCACGTTTGAGCTTCTCAAGAGCCAATGAGGTTCATTCTCGTGTTACGCAGCAAGTTTGAGCTTATGCAAGAGCCAATGAGGTTCATTCTCGTGTTACGCAGCACGTTTGAGCTTCTCAAGAGCCAATGAGGTTCATTCTTGTGTTACGCAGCACGTTTGAGCTTCTCAAGAGCCAATGAGGTTCATTCTCGTGTTACGCAGCACGTTTGAGCTTCTCAAGAGCCAATGAGGTTCATTCTCGTGTTACGCAGCACGTTTGAGCTTCTGCAAGAGCCAATGAGGTTCATTCTCGTGTTACGCAGCACGTTTGAGCTTCTCAAGAGCCAATGAGGTTCATTCTCGTGTTACGCAGCACGTTTGAGCTTCTCAAGAGCCAATGAGGTTCATTCTCGTGTTACGCAGCACGTTTGAGCTTCTCAAGAGCCAATGAGGTTCATTCTTGTGTTACGCAGCACGTTTGAGCTTCTCAAGAACCAATGAGGTTCATTCTCGTGTTACGCAGCACGTTTGAGCTTCTCAAGAACCAATGAGGTTCATTCTCGTGTTACACAGCAAGTTTGAGCTTCTCAAGAACCAATGAGGTTCATTCTCGTGTTACACAGCAAGTTTGAGCTTCTCAAGAACCAATGAGGTT